AACAAAACTCAAAACTTTAAGTCTATAATCTCAAAGAAGAAAGATAGGAAAAAATTATAAAATATTGAATGATAGGGAACCGAACATCTTCCCTTCCTCAATATATCATGTCTACCACTTACTATCAGAATTCATTCTCTTTTCATTTTTCAAACTCCAACATTTTGTAATGGAAATATTGCTATGACACTACAAACTATCAAAATTGCATTTATCTTTGGGAAGGTTGATAGTCTTCCATGCATGAATGTGAATTAATTTGATCAAAACAGTTTCATTTAATTCCAACTCGCAGTTGCAGTACACTATAGGACTGCTGATGTGTGTTTATTTATTTCCTTTTTTTTTTTTTTTTTTTACTTATTTGAGAGGAAGAGGGAGAAGGGAGGAGGGAGAGAGGGAGATAAAGAAAGAGAGAGAGAGAGGAAACTCTCACCTGCCGGTTGATGGTTGATTCCTCAAATACTCGCAATAGCCTGGGTTGTGCCAGGGCTGGAGCTGGGAGTCAGGAACTCAGTCCAGGACTATATATGGGTGGCAGGGACTGTACTCCCTTAGCCATCAACACTGTTTCTCGGGGTCTGATTAGGAGAAGGCTGGAGTCAGGAGCCAGACCTGGTTACTGAAGTGAAGTAACTGACCTAGGATGTGTTTGTCTTAACTGCTAGGCTAAATGCCCATGGAAGGGTGCTGTTTTGTTGTTGTTGTTTTGTTTTGTTTTGTTTTTTTAAGTATGGGGAGCAACAAACAAGCCACGTGAGATAAGAGGACTGAGCTCTGAGTGAGGGCAATAGAATGGAAAAGGGCTTCAGGTGCTTATTGCGGGGAGTGAGATGCAAAGGAGTAGAAAGCAGTTAACTACTGTGTTCCTGGCTTCAAGACCAACCAGGGCCAGCGCTGCGATCACCAAGAGAGGAGGAGAAATTTCCTTTTCTTTCTTGACCCTTCTGTATATAACAGGCCTAATTCATAGGACCAATATGAATCTCGTACTATTGCAAACTGTAAACATTAAGTGGGTTTCTCCAAAATAGAGCTTTGTGACACAGCTCTTATAAGAAAATGAATAGTATTCCGAGCAACTTAAGGGAAGGACTCTTCAAGCTCTAACAATTGAGCCCTGTGAAATTCCCGACATTCAAGAGTCTATGATGGGGGGGGGGGGGTGGGGGTGCTGTGGCGTAGAGGTTAAAGCTGTTGCTTGCAGTGCCGACATCCCATATGGGTGTTGGTTCAAGTCCCAGCTGCCCCACTTCCGATCCAGCTCTCTGCTATGGCCTGGGAAAGGAGTGGGAGATGGCCCGAGTGCTTGGGTCCCTGCAACCTCATGGAGACCCAGAAGAAGCTCCTGGCTCCTGGCTATGGATCAGCGCAGCTGCGACCATTGTGGCCAATTGGGGAGTGAACCAGTGGATGGAAGACCTCTCTCTCTCTCTGCCTCTCCGTAACTCTGCATTTCAAATAAATACTCTTTTTTAAAAAATAAGGGTCTATGATCAATAAAGCTGGCATTTTCATTGGCTCAACCTCAAAGTTGGTAAGTTGGTGACTTCCTGAATTTCCTGCCTGAAATCACATAATCAGAATTAAAGCTTTGAAACGCTATTACTTAAGCTGTGTAGTATAGGGATTCTTAAAAAATATATAGACTTTATTAGTCTTGAAAGCATACTATATGACAGGGGATGCTACAAGTGATGCTATTAAAAATAGTTATAATATCCAAGCCCCTGGATCAAGCTGTCTTTGTCTATATAAATTCATTCTATTGTTATTTAGAAACCACTTCCTTCTAAAAGCCTAGGCAACCTAAGGTATCTAAATCTGTAAGTGCTTTAGGTTGAGGTTCACGGTAGGCATTATGGATTTCAGGGCAACTCTAAGTAAATTAAAATTTTTCCTGAATCACTTCACGCTCAGAAGGAGGGTTATGTGATGTCCTTACTGCCACTTTACTGATGCCATAGGGAAGAGTACTTTTATGTTCTCCTTCCTACCCCACCCCCAGAATATAATGTCATTTTAGACTCTAACTTGGCACTGATGATGATGATGATGATGATGATGATGATTTTTGACAGGGGGACATGAGAAAGAGAGAGAGAAGGGCGAGAGAGAGAGAGAGAGAGAGAGAACCCCAAATGCTTGCAAGAGTGAGGGCAGGGCCAAAGCTGGAGCAACAAGCAGAAATGCACTCCAGGTTTCACACACGGGTGACTTGAGTCATCATCACTGCCTCTCCAGTATGCATTAGCAGATAGCTAGAGTCAGGAGCTGGAACCTAAAGTGGAACCCTGGGCACTCAGATACGGGATATGTGCATCAACTGCTAACTTGGCATCTAGATGAACCAGAAGGTCTTTTTCAGTTCTATTATTACATGATTAAACTTTTTGGAGGGGGTGGGGAACAACTATGCTTGCTCTCATCTGCACGAAGTATGTCCATAACTATATGCAAGAAAAAGGCATCAACAGTAGTTCTCTGGAGGGAAACATGCTTTTCCCTGTACTGTGGCTTCTTGTATGGAGTTTCTTTTTAATATCACGCGTTGTTTACTAATAAGAATTCAAAAATACAGTAATTTAAGGAGACAAAACATTTCACTTGTAAAAGCACAGGGCTCCTCCCTGGATAAATGTTTACATCCTGTTCTTCTTCACAATGTTAACATTATTGTGATTTTTAAAAATAATAATTCTTAGGAACTGTAGGAGGTGGACCAGAGATATAGGAAATGTGCTTGTTTAAATCTGCAAATATTCTATTTATTCCATAAATATTTGTAACTATCTGGTATGTGATACGTCCTGGACTAGCTACTTCCTCTCTTCCATAAATTCTGGAAGGCTTCTATGTATAAATACTCAAGCATTTTTTTTTATTTGAGAGTTCTGCATGTTTAAAATGTTTCCCATAGATAAGTAGTGGTCTGTTCTCCATGCATGTACCAAGTGATAGCTCACCTGCAGGGAGAATTGACCCCAACTCTGCGGTGGGTCCCAGGTGTGTGGTTGTGGCCAACCTGCATTGACTACCTATGTGTGATTTGGAGGGCACGCTGTGCAGAGGGATGGACTCATCTTGACTATATCTTCAATATAGAGAAAAAAAGAGAAGATTTAACAAAAAAGAAAGAAAAAGGAAGGTGCTAGCGAAGGGGGGGGTGTGTGGACTGAAATTTGTGAAGTATAGGAACATCTTGAGCAAACTGTTCATTTACCCAAAAAACCAATCCCATTATTCTGTAAACAGCTGCCCAAGACATTAAAAGGACTCACCCAATCAAAGAAGCTTGCTACTTAAGACAACTTTGGTAAAACAATAGGACTTCCTTCTTACAGCTCAGGTTTTATGTAAATGAGGTGTAGAAAAGAACAATGCCTTTCATTTACTTAAACTCTGGATGTTTTCAAAGCCTTCAGACCTATGCCACTTCTCCCATTCTCACAGAAAGACCCTAAGAGCTGTCTTCACTTTCACAGATGAGGAAAGTCAGCGCCAGTGGTTGGAACATGTGCCCCATAGAGACCTGGTAAGAGAAAGGCTGAAGTTTAAAGCAGGGACCCAGCAGTGCCCTGCCCATGGGCACTAAGCAAGGGCCACCATGCGGCTCTCCAGAGACGGCTGAATAGAAATTCCTGTGCCTTTCATTCCAACGCAACAGAGAGCATGCCCTTGGCAGTCCATTCCTCCCAGTCCCGTCCACCCCACGTTCCCAGCGCTGCATCCTCCTGGAGCCCAGTTAGGATTCTGCCACTTGCAGCTCCCCACAGGCTCCACAGACTGCCAGTGAGGTCCTGTGCGTCAGCCCCCATCCACTCCTCAAATTCAAATGCTCATTCTCACCTCCTATTCTCCAACCAAATTGACTTGCACACCACCACCTAACGTGCCAGCAAGGTCAGGGTAGCATGAGACAGAACACACAGGTAAGGGTCCCATGCAAGAGCGCAGTCATCACATTATTTCAATGCAACAGTTTTTCCAAAAAATAAAAAATAAAAGTTAAGGCAAAAATGCACAATGAAACATATCAGAATTTCACATAAAGACAGAGTGGTTATTCGGGGTTTTTCTTCTTCAGGATGCAGACTGCCTCCGAGGGGCGCTGTTACCGACCCTGCAGCCGCTCCCCACATTTACTAGTGCGATGCTTCCCAAAAGTTGGTTCTCCTCCCAGCCCATTTCTAGAATCAGAATCTCTGGCTCTCACAGACGGCTTCAACATTCGTCAGTAGCTCTCTTCTCCCTGGAGGACCTGTTTGCCCTCCGGCTGGCAGTACTTAGAAGGCAGGCAGAACCACCCTGGGTTCTTTGCAGCGCCTTCCCAAAGCGCGGTGGGCCACTCAGTACCTCTTGGCTCAAAAGAACACAGAAATCATTGGCTCAAATCGGCGGAGTAGGGAAGGGACCCACATGTTTGATTGGTTGGTTTGTTGTCCAGAGTGTTGGGGGCGGGGGGTAACACGGGATTTGTTATCAAGATTTAAAAATCAGAATATTTTACATGAAAGCAAAAAAATCTAGATCTCTGTGGTGACTTGGAAAAAAAAATCAGGAAATCCACAAAACCTCGGTGTGCAATCTCACACAGCAGCAATGGGCATTCAGGGCAGAGCAGTGGCCCGGCCTTCACAGAGCTCTCCACTCACTCACATGTCCTGCCAGGCCCCGCTGGCTCTCGGAGTTTGCCACCCTAGGCATACAGGGACGAGCGCGCTGGATACAAACCCATCTGCTGGGGCCACTCGCCTTTTCCTGGAGAATAAATGCTTCCTGGTTGTCCTTTCGAATAGAGCCTTGCAGAGGGGCTCGCACATGCAGCCCACTCCTCTCCAGCCCACTAACTTCCCACTACCCGAGAAACTCTGACCAGTTTTTCTGCTGCCCTTCGCTCAGGCGCTCCCGCCCCAGGCCCTGCTCGTCCCCTCCCCCTCCCCCTCGCCCCTCCAACGCCTCTCTAGGGAGCGCGGGGCTGCTCCCCGACCCCCCGCCGCAGCTCCTTGCCCCGGGCCAGGGCGCTCAGGCTCGCCCACGGCGCCACTGGGCATGCTCAGAGACGGCCGCGGGGGCAGGTTGGCTCCGCGGGCGCTCGCACTCGGCGGCGGGCCGGCGGACGCGCGGCTGCAGCTGGAGCTCGGGCGCCCGGAGTTGGAGTTGCCGGGAGTTTCCCGCCCCCCACTGCTCTCTCTGCGCGCGCGGCGGCAGGAGTCGGCGCGGAAGCCGCCAGCCGGCGCGAGCCAACAGCGCCCGGGCGGGTCAGCTGTGTCCGGAGCCGGGAGCCCAAAGCGGGGCAGCCCCCAGGGAGGAGCCCCGCCAGCTGGGACGCGTGCCCTGCACTGACACGACCCGGGCACCAGCCAGGCTGCACGGTAGGGCCGGGGCGTGGGGAGCCAGGCGGAGGCCAGGCCAGGGGGGCGATGCGGTTGCAGCCGCCGCGGGTTTCGGGGCGCTGGCGCCCCGCCGAACGCGGCCGCCCCGGGCAGGGGCCAGGCTGCGGGGCGGAAGAAGCAGGCGGGCGCCCGGAGAGATGCTTTAAGTTGGCGGGGAACGGGAGAAGGGGCTCCCGCCCGGGCGCAGCTGCTTTGTGCGCGCGGAGGGGACTCGGGTCCCTGGTTCTCTCCAAACCTGGGACTGGCGTGCGGGCAGGACTGGGCAAAGCAGTTTTCTCCGGGAAAGTTGCGAATGGAGCCCTTCGGTCCGCCCTGTCCCCGCCATAGGATGGGCCCTGCAGGTGTTGCCTCGAGGCCCCCCAGTGAGGAACTGAACCTGTCGCCTCACGCCTAGGTTGAGACCCCACCCCCCGCATAAGTCCATGAATCACTCCGATCTTCGCGACCCCTGGCGTGTTCTAGGAAAATCTTTGCTGCCAAAGCTGTGGCGGGCTCCTTGGGCGGGTGCTGCTCCCTGCCCCCTAGGTAGCCTGGCCGCTTGCGATGCCCCCTCCCCACCTCCGACTTGGTCAAGGGCTGCAGTTCCGAATTCGCACTTGGGGTGCGCGCCGGAATCCAGCCTCGCACGCAGGGCGGACAAAGTGGCCGGAGTAGGTGGGTGGCCAGATTATCCCTCCAGCATTTCCTCAGAGCTACTGCGTCCCATCACCCACCCGTTCATCTTCGCAGAAAACAGGACCTGGAGGGCCAGGCGAGAGTTTGGAATGGCAGAGTCTTTCCGAGGAGAAAGTGCCTGGGATGTGTCTATCGTGGCTGCCGGCCCTAGGGCTTCCTAACGCACCCTCTTCCATTTCTCTTACTCTTCCTCAGGGACAGGGTGGGAAAGAATAGGGTCGGTGGGCCCACAGGAACGTCCACCTCGTCCCCTGCCTCCTAAGATCGCGTCTAGGCGACCCCAGGATCCTGGAACTGGCCTTGTGCAGATTGCAAAGGTCCAAAGGATGTCAGCTGCTTCCCTTGGCTTCACTTTTTCCACTTCTTGTTTCGAGTTTTGGGGCTTTGCCTGCACACGAGTCAGAGCTGCGCTGGCGTAGCCCGGGTTGGGGGGGGGTGGTGGAGAAGCTTCGGCGAGGCAGTGAGCCGCTGTTCGCCTAGGAGGCTGCTAGTGGGAACCGGTCCAGAAATGATTATGCAGGCTAGAAATATGCCTCTTTTCCCCCTCCGTTTTGGCTGAGCACCTTGGCTTTGGGTTTATGTGTTAAGTTCTTAAAGGGGCACCCGCATGCTGCTCAAGTGCTGTGTTTCAGGGGCTCGCCATTTTTTGGTGCGTGTTTTTCTCTTTGCTTTTTTCTTGGGGTTTATCTGCTCCAGGGCAGATTTCCAGATGTGGGACTCACCCCTCACAGGCCGTGTGCACCACACAGGTTCGAGGGTCAGACAGGCCCGAGGTCAGGTTAGAGCTTCACAGCTGATGGACAAATTATCGGCCACTCTGAAGTTCAGTTTTCCCTTCTGTGAAATGTGGCTAATTGCGGTCTTAGCCCCCTCCCAACGGCAGGGGTGTTGGGAGACTTGGTGTAGATAATGGGAATGAAAGCGCTGTGAAAACTTGAAAGCACATTTGCATCTTAGGTATTGTCTCTGTGCTCCTTACTCAGATGTTGTTTCGGATGAACGGATCCTTAATTATAACGTCTGTGTTCTCACCTCTGCCCACTCCTCATCAAGAGGTTTGGTTGCTAGGTCTTTGGAAATAGCTGTTTACAGCCCTCCCTCCTATTCCCCCCCCCCCCCCACCTGGCTTGATTTTAAGGTTGGGACTCCAGCCCTTATATTTCTCTCAGGGAGGCTGCTGCTGTACACTAGGAGACCCCTGGGGCTTCCTTATCAATGTCCATGGTCCTGGGTCCCAAAGTTGAAGTCAGCAAGGCCTTAATTTGAGATCCAGTGTTGGTGCAGTCAGCAGGCCCTGGGTTGGAGCTCTGATTTGGCCTCCAACAGTGACCTTGAACTGGGGACTCAGCATCTCCTTGGTGAAATCAGCCTGTGAGATTAAAAGCCAGTGCCAGTTGGAGGCAGTAACAGGCTATGGTGTGTCAGTCGGGCTCCGGAGCCATCCCAGGTGTACACTTTGCCTAACCCAGGGCACTGGTTCTCAGATGTAGCATCACAATCACAGGAGGGCTAGTGACAGCACAGTTTGTCAGATGACCCTGCTGAGTCAGATTCTCCAGATCTAGGAGGGAGGACTAAGGATTCGCATTTCTAACCAGTTCCAGATGATGCTAATACTGCTAGTCCGGGGGCCACGCCTGTAGAATCACTAATTTGTGGGATGAGACCATAGGCAGGTGAGGCTTGTTCTGAATCACCATTATTTTAGTAGCTGATATACAGGACAGCAGGGTTTCTGGGCATTTTAGGAAGTTGCTTTAAGCATTTTTTTATTCCAATACTTTTGCTTCTTACTGTTTTCCTGTTTTTGATAATTCTGATTGATCTTCAAATCAACACATTTTTACAAAAAGATAGGATTCTCCCTTCTTTAAGGGTTTTTGCTTATTTGAAAGGCAGAGCAAGAAAGAGATATCTTCCTTCCACTGATTCACTCCCCAAATGGCCACAGCAGCCAGGTTGGGCCAGATCAAGCCAGGAGCTCCACAGGGGTGTTCCTATGTGAGTGGGTGGCAGGAACCCAGGTGTTTGGGTTCTGCTGCCTTCTCAGGCACATTAACAGGAAACTGGATCAGAAACCAAATAATCAGGACTCAAACTAGTATTCCGATAAGGGATGTTGGTGCTCTCTTTCTAACTGCCTGTAAAAAAAAAATAAAAAATAAAAAAAAAATTCCTCCTATTCCACTGCTCCCCTGTACCATTCACCATCATGTCTACCTCATTGCTGGTTTTCCTAAGTCTCTGGTTTCTAGAACACTCTTGGGTAAACTGAGATTGGTGTGCTTTATGTTGATAAATCCAGCAACTACTCTGTTTCTTTTCTTTGGGGACCTCAGACGTGCGTGAAGAGGAGATTGCCTGCAGTTCTGATGGTTGGAAACTTGTGGTCTCATGAACAACAGGTTGAATCACTTAGGAACAAATTTTTTTTTTAAAGATTTTTATTTATTTATTTGAAAGTCAGAGTTACACAGAGAGAGGAGAGGCAGATAGAGAGAGAGAGAGAGAGAGAGAGAGAGAGAGGTCTTCCATCCGATGGTTCACTCCCTAGATGGCTGCAACAGCTGGAGCTGTGCTGATCTGAAGCCAGGAGCTAGGAGCTTCCTCCGGTTCTCCCACATAGGTGCAGGGGCTCAAGGACTTGGGCCATCTTCTACTGCTTTCCCAGGCCACAGCAGAGAGCTGGACAGGAAGCGGAGCAGCTGGGTCTTGAACCAGCACCCATATGGGATGCTGGCGTTTTTAGGCCAGGGCGTTAACCCACTGCGCCACCGCGCCGGCCCCAGGAACAAATTTAAAAGGAATGTGTGGTGGTGTTTTCTCTGAATTACCAGCTGATGTGAAGTATAGCCTGCGTCAGCTGAGCCAAGGGGTCAGACCAGGCAAAAAGCCCTCCGCACTTCGGTGACATTAGCCTTCGGTGCCATTAGCAGTGGCTGAGGCTCTTTTACTCTATAAGGAGGAGGAAGACTGGTTTTCAGGGGTAGCTGTGTAGTATCAGTGTGGTGCCCTATGGAGTTTAGCTTGTCACTAAGTACTATTTAGACTCAACCCAATCTTAAGTTCTTCTTGTTCCTCAAGCCATGGACCTGTGCTGAGAGCTCAGCATGACTGACTTTGACCATATGGTCTTGTATTTTAATTTTTAAAGAAAGATTTATTTATTTGAAAGGCAGAGTTAGAGGCAGAGGCACAGAGAGTGAGCGGTCTTCTATCCGCTGGTTCGCTCCCCAAATGGCTGCAATGGCTAGAGCTGTGCTGATCCGAAGCCAGGAGCCTGGAGCTTCCTCTAGGTCTCCCACATGGGTGCAGGGGCCCAAGGACTTGGGCCATTCTCTACAGCTTTCCCAGGCCATAGGAGAGAGTTGGAATTGGAAGCAGAGCAACCAGGACTCGAACCGGTGCCCATATGGGATGCTGGCACTGCAGGTGGCGGCTTTACCTGCTACACCACAACACCGGCCCCCTGTGTTGTAATTTTTTGATCACAGATTCTTCCTGAGGTTACTTCCTAAAGAAGAAATAAAGTTTATATAATGTGGCGGCCAGATGGACTTAATAAACGTACGAGGAGGTCAGTCAGCACTTGAGCTAGTTATGGTACTGTGTTATGTTGAACTATGTTATGGTGCCAGTGGAATTCTAGCTGACTTTCATGTTTTATCTCAGCTTTCCATTTGTGCTTTATTTTAGTGTTAAAATGATTAACACTAGAGAAACCTATCAGTAAATCAAAAACCCATTCAAAAGCTCAAGTGTATCACTTGACTGCTGTAGCAGATAAAACCGCAAGACCAAACCTGTCTTCCTGACATTAATCAGTGCTTGGCGAAGGAACAGCGTTTGAGTTACAGTTCTTAAGAATCAGTAGCTAATTTAAATGATGTCTTCCACTTAATAAATAGGGAACGTTACAGTGTTAAAAATCTTTACCAGAACTTGATGTTTATGTTGTGGGTGTTACCCAGACTTTTTGCTGCTGGGGTTTTCCAATGTGCGGGAAGCCTCTTTCCTTATCACTGTTGTTCACTTTTCCCAGCACTCAGTCACCTGAAATCCTTATTACCTTTAATAAATCTGTTGTGAGACAGTCATTCTTGTGCTTTATTCGTCTTTGGCCATCAGGGCTATTATTAATGTGTCACAGTGTCAAGGCCCATTCCTGGAATATTACTTTCAATCTTCCTTGAGAATACTTTCATTTATTTATTTTTTGACAGGCAGAGTTAGAGACAGAGAGAAAGATCTTCCTTCTGTTGGTTCGCACCCCAAATGGCTGCTACAGCCGGCGTGCTGCGCTG